TTGTGTAATTCAAGATTAAAACAAATCTGAAATCAATTTAAAGAAACTCATTCTAAAATCCCACTGATGTTAATTTCCAAATTATTCAAAATAGGAAAGTGAAGTATAGTCTACCTTACTTGCTGATTGCACTTTATTTAACTGTTGATAAAGAGGTGGATCCCTAATGGTTAACTGTTTTACATTCTAAGCAGCTACAGCAAAATTTTCATAGGCCTTATTGAAGAATGTAAATAAATATGGACATTGTTGGGGCATCAATTCTTGCGAGCTAATGCTGCAGCAATTCCACCAGCAATAAGTCCTAACGCAGTAGCAGTGATGCCAATTCCAATAACACCATCTGCATTCAAAACGAATACGTACGTAATTCTTTCATTAGGATGCCATAATGAGATTGAGATTTTGAATGGAAGCAAAAAATCTAGGCACCACCTTTAGCAATTCGATCTTCGACTGTCTTCCTAAGGGCATCAGCCGGCTTCCAATCAGGTTGCATCTACAACAGATGTTTTCAAAGATGAACAATACCAAAAAAAAGATTGAGGCAACAAAGGCCTCTTAACCTGAGAGTTTCAACATGGCCTCCCTCTTCAACCCTCCAAAAATTTTCTAAGAAACATTATCTAAGTAGAAAACATTGAGAAAGACAAGAAAAATTAAAATCAAAGGACAAAGTTTGTCCGACAAACCTCCAAACATTGCCCCACAAGCTGCCGGCTTCTTGGGTAATCACCACATCTGTAATATCCAACAGCAAGAAGATAGAGTTTCTCTTTCTGCTGCAAAGGAGAGCTGCTATTGGCTAAGGATGCTGCAAAGACATAGTAACTAAGTTTGAGTCACGTATTGCAAATAATAGAAGATAAAAAATACACAAACCTTCGAAGCAAGAAAATAATAAATTTAGCAAGACAATGGTTAATACTAGAACAAATAATTTAAGAATATTCATAGAAATTATAATTTGATTCTTTTTCTATTCATTTATACTATTTTGGTCCATTTTACTTGTCACTACACATATTGTTAGGTGATGTTTAAAATTTTTTACCAACACATATTGTTAGGTGATGTTTAAAATTTTTTACCAACGAAGGGTTGGATTAAGTGACAAGCGGTTTGTTTCAGTTTAAACAAGATCTCGAGTTCGAGACATTGTGTACGCAGCAGTTTTCGTTGGGAGACCCACCCACCATTTTGGTGCGCCACAGCTGGTCGAGTCCGGAGTAGTCGAGGCGAAACTTCGGATACTGGGCGGGAAAAAAAAAATTTTTTTTTTTAAATTTTCATTCAAATATTATAAAAAAATATTACTTAAAAATACATGTAATACCAAAAAAAATAAATAAGAGGTAGTACATATATAGAAGATTCCTTAATTGAAATAATAGTCTTGTCTCAAAATGATAAAGAAATACATATTTTATAATATAAAATATATTATATTATAAAATATAAATCATCGAGTGAGTGTAGCCAAGAGATTAGGCAAACATTGGAACACCATGTTTCGAAGTGTGGTACAGACTCCACAGAAAAGCAGTTGCCAGTTATAATCTATAATAGACATTAACAAGAACCTAAAAAGATAGGGAAACAAAATAATTGACTCTGAAATGCAAATAGAAAGATGACCTTCAAGCATGGCTATCCCACGCCGCACATCTTCAGGTTGCCGGGAGTGGACAAGAGCCCACGA